CATCACGCCGCACATGCTTGCAAACATGAATGACCGTGTAAAGGCCGCTTATGCGTATAGCGTATATTTTTAAAAACATGATGTTGTTAAAATTAAATAAAATCTTTAAGAACTTTTATCAACGCTTCACATGTCTCAATAATTATGTTGCTTAAACTTGCAGTTGAAATATACGACTGGAATTTAAAACTTTCGTAGCTCTCTCCAGTTGCCAATACCTCAATGTTACAGAGAGACGTTCATCAGGCGAAATTGCGTCTCGCATGATGGTGTTTTGTTTTTCTATATAAGGTGTTATTTTTTCCAAAAGTTCCCTATAAACAGAAGGATCCATTCGGAGAAAATTTTTGTAGTCCGCCGGGCTGGACTGTTCAATTTCCTTTAACAAATTTATATGTGAAAAAACTGGTCTTCTTGATCGCCATTCCTTTACCCAAGTTTTTCTCCGTCTTTTTTGCTTTTTTTGTTCTACTTCGTCTTCTTCTAAAATATCTATTACAAGTGCTGCAACTAATGCACGTGCCATGTTGCTTCGTTCACAAATAATAGAGGAATAAAGTATGATTGCATGTTCGACCGTTTAAACGAAAACCAGTTTTTTTTTGCATCATACCATGTTTGCATACAAAAATGACCGTGTAAAGGCCGCTATAATGTTTGTAAATTTGTCTACATGCAACATATGCATGTAAATATGTACACTCAATGCTTCATGGGCTGACTTTTTGTCAATTATTCAATGTGGCGACAATGCGTCACAACATTGTATTGTTGATAGAAAATCCGTTCTGCATACATATATAGTTTTGTACATATTTATGTTTTCAATTACAATTTTTTATAAAATAAAATATCAAAACTGAAAACAAGCTATTAAAAATAGTTTATATATTTATAAATAATAGCCTACGACTCTGATTTTGAGTTATTTTAAAAAAATTTCAAACACATTGTACCGATTGAATTATAAAAGTAAATAATTACTACAGTATATACATAGATATTGGCAAACCTGGGTTGTGAGAGAGCAATCAGCTGATACGTTTCCACGGCAAAAACCAAAATGCTGTAGATTCCCACGTCATCCTACGTAAAAGAGAGAAGGGAGTAGCGTTTTTCACTGTGCACTTTCATTGCGCGCCCATAAGATAGGTCGTATCAGCTGACACGACCCACGATTCTACGTTTTTTCCTGTTTCGGCTATAGCAGTAGATATAGATTTTTGTGGTTTCTTAAAAATAAAAATATAATATGGCACATAGGCGAGTGCGGCTACTTAAGGGAGTTTTACTTAAAACAATAATTTCTATAAATTTCAATAAACAAACCCTGAGATGCAGCAAGATATGGGCAGTTAAGAGGGATGATTTTCATTTAAGCGGAATACTCTTAACCGGGATTCACTGTAAATCAGAGGAATATCAGAGGAGAATATATTTTTTGGCACATTTCTAGACTAGAAAATCGACAAATAATCTATGTTGTCACTTTTATTCTAATATATTTGAATACTTATATTTGTGGGGTTGTCGCTTTTTCCGTCTCACACAAATATCAGAAATTGTTCAAGTTATGATTTTTAGCTTTTGCCATCGTCGCGAAAAGACGCTTGTAGGCAAAGGCATGCTCGGGGAGATGTCCTGGTGTTTGTTGTTATGAATGAAGCAAGTTTGCCTGTTGAAAGTCGCTTGCGTTCATGAATGAAAATATTGTTGTTGTGTACTTTTCTACAAATTTGGGCATCGACTATTTGTCTGCCATATTGACTTGTGACATACATATCTACATGTGTTCGCATATAAGTATGTATGTTGTGTATGGCTTATTTGTATGTGTACGCATATAAGTATGTATGATGCTATTTCAAACGATTGTTGTTTTTGTAAAGCAATGTTTGTAGTTTTTGCGGCTGACATATATGAACGCATATCTAATGTAATTGTGTATGCATTATTTGTGTGCCAATGTCATGCGAGCATATTTATGTATTTACTGATAAGTGATAATATGATTTGAATTCGCGAAAGCGAACATGAACACATATGGTCATGAAACATGTGATACATAGATAAGTTTTGAATGATAAAATGTACGATTAATGTACATTTATCACTATTGTAATATATTTAATTTTTTTAATAATATTATGATAGTTTGTTATGTACATATGTAACTACAAATATTGCTTTGAAAAGTTATTTAATTGAAATGTATTCAATTGTACATGTATTCATTAATATGCATAAAAAGAATTCATACGAATACAAAGAGATAAGAAAAAGAGCGAACATACGTCTGTTAGAGCAATATTTAGTTTTGAGCATAATTTTTATTTCACGCTCAGCTCTGTTCAAACGAAAATGTTAAAATTTCTGCTGCCGAGTTGGCAATGGTGAAACTGTCTCATCTCGACCGAGTTAGCCAAAAATATTTTTACGATCTCCGCGCCGTGAACTTTCTCTATGATAAACGTTCTCTGCGTCACACGTAGTTCGTTTGCACAATTGTGCTAAGAAATGCCGTCCACTGATGTACGGCATATGATGATATGGCATATATGCACATATAGAGACATAAATATATGTATGTATGCCAATGATGATACTCCCAAACATAGAATATTGAAGAAAAACAAATTCTTTGATATTCCATAGGAAATATGTTCCATTATGTATGGAAAAATGCATGTAGAACTTTTTATTTTTTATTTATTATTTTTCAAATTCTTTTATGTTAATTTAATCTTATTTTATAATAAGTCATTTGAAATAAATAAAAGATTTACCTAAACATTACGATAATATTTTCATGATTCATGTTAGCTTTCAACCAGGCAATTCCTTTCATACGTAATGTAAGGAATTTCGTTTTGCTGTCGGTATTTCTATTTCTCACTCTTCACTTTTTACTTTCAACCAAGAAATCGCTTGTATGTATAGCTTTTGTTTGGTGTTGCTAAGACAGCTGCGTTGGTTATTATAGCATTAAGTTTTCTTATGCTTTCGACAGTATATCTTCCAGTATTTATTTTGTGCTTAATATTAATGCTACTCACGTATTTTTTATATTTTTGAAAATTCGTTCTATAAGATGTTAGACCCACTTTTGGATCAACGAATGCAGGTTGTTCACGTATTTTTATTAGTACAGGAGAATGATCAGATGATAAGTCTGTACATGTATCAGCTATCATAAGCGATCTATCTATATTTTTGACTACAGCAAAATCTATTAAGTCTGGTATTTGTTTGCTATCAGTATGTCGGCTTATCAGGAGATATTATATCCAGCTTATTGTGCTCATTTATAATAGTGTGATTGTGCTGTCGTCCTTTCGGTTTAATAAGACGTGAGCCCCAGTACATACGTTTTGCGTTGTAATCTCCACCTGCCAGAAATCTTTGACCTTGTTTCTTTTCCAAAAAAGTCTTTAAATTCGTTATCAGTAATTTGAAAACGAGGTGGACAGTATACAGCTGTAAGATTTAAGTCACAACCCCGTGCTGTGCTGTAGCGTGAGATTCTAGAGCATAGTGATTTAATCGAGATCTAAYCAACACTTCCGTGTCACCATGCGTTTTTCGATTTGAATATATATTTTATAAATATTGAAATTATTTTTATTTGTAAGATGAGTTTCTGATATGTTGATTAACACCGTTAGCATTCCATATACAGGCATTTAGTAAGCTCCTTTTTTATTTAATAAATTTTGCAGCATTTGATTTTGTCATTTTATTAAATCTTGGGTTATGTTTTGCATGGTAGACATAAATTCTGTCATACACTGTGTAAGATTTATAATCATAGTAATAGGATTTGAACTTTTCTCTGAGGTTGCTATAATTTCATTGCGTGGTGTGACAACGATTCAAACCTTTTTCCAAATACAACCCCTTTAGTTAGTAATGTGATTTGCTCCACAATTGCTGCACTTTTTATTTAATTCATCTTTCATAAGGGTGCATTTTTGCATTTGGGATGTAAATTACCGCATACCACAAACACTGCGTAGAGTGCAATATAAATTGGTATGACCATATTACAATGCAGTATATATTTCAGATTATATATAGAAWGGGTTTCATTTTTTTAAGTTGATTAGAATTCGGCAACAATTCAATTTTAAACATTGACTGTGGCACTTTGTTTCTATTAAATATATTTACAACAGTTTTTATACCAAAACCGTATTCTTCCAATGCTTCTTTGACTTCACTAGAGTCTACGGCGGACTTTATACCATTTATTACAACAACTAGGCCCTTACAGCTCTTCAGTTGATAGGAATAATAGTTCTTGTTTTTATTTGACAAAAATTAACTATTTCCAAAAAACTTTTTTCAGTGTAGGACTGAATTTTTGTGTCGTCTATATTGCCTTTTTTCAAAGGCACTATATGAAAATTGTTAGTGCCACCAATTTTACATTATTCAGCAAAGAGAGCATTACTGCTACGCTCGCGCAAATATATTATGGGTAGTTTGGTATTAACAACTGTGGTGGTACCCTTCGCATCGTCGTCTGATCCATTGCTTAGTAAGGCAAATCTGTTGCTGTTTACCACTTCAGGTTTATTCTTATTTGGTGTACCGCCTTGAAATTCAAGTTGTGAAATGTTACCATTTTTAACAGTTCTCTCACATACTCAAACTAAGAATATGAAGAGAAATAAATTATGTATGTATGGCATATGATGACGTGGCATGCATGCCCAAGCAGAGAATATTTAAGGGTGCGCGCAGAGTGGCCGCTTGTTGCCGAGCCGAGCCRACTGACGCTTATTGCGAGAACTTGTTCATGCGACAAACAAGTTTGAGTGTGCATAGTGGATGCGAGAATCAGCGCTGATATTTTATCTATTATTTGTGTTTTATGTATGTTTGTATGCATTTGGGTTTGTTGTTCATTCCTGTTTGTGAAATTGAAGTGAAAAGATATGGATTCGTCAGTTGATGAGTTTTTAGCTGAAGTGAAAAGATATGGATTCGTCAGTTGATGAGTTTTTAGCTTCGGCTACTGTTTTAAAGTATTTTATCAATAAAAAATCATTTGGAAAACATCCAATAAATGATAAACGAAGTGAATTTGGAGATTTTCATCACTTATATAGTGATTTAAGAAAATATCCTGTCAAGTTTAAAGAATATACTCGAATGAGTATTGGAACTTTCGACTATATTCTCGAAAAGATTGGTGATAAATTAAAAAAGAAGTGGAGTAATTTCATTAAAGTACCAATATGTCCATGTGAACGCTTGATAGTAAATCTCAGGTAATAAATTTTTTATGTTTTATATATTTGTATTTATT